AATTTTAAAATGCTTTTAATCTGTAAACGTTCCAGTCACTGTTGGAGATTCAAGTTCCACCATTCCTTTAAATTCTGCCCAAGAATGCTATCCTGAAAATGGAAAATAAATACTTTAAAAAAGTTAGGTGTGAATTTCAGCAATTTTACTTCAGGGTTTTCTGTGTGTTCTCAACATTTTAAAAGTACTAAATAGATACACTTGGGTATAGTTGACTAAAACTAATGAGATTATCTTTATGCCTTCATTCCGGTAATATACCAATCACTAATGAATTATAAAAAATAATCTTTTCAGTGTTACATATTTGCATATATTCTTTTTTTAAATTCTAGGTAGTCAAGGTGAAATTGAGATAAATTAAGATTTTTGGCCAGGCACAGTTGCTGATGCCTGTAATCCTAGCATTCTGGGAGGCTGGGGTGGGAAGATCATTTGAGGCCAGGAGTTCGAGACCAGCCTGAGCAAGAGCAAAATCCTGTCTCTATTTCTAAAATTAAAAAAATTTTTAAAACTAAAAGGTTTTTGTCCAGAATTTATCCAACCCAAAAGGTACTTTGAAATTCCTCTTTCAAAGATATACATAGAAGGATTTTATTGTTTATAGTTGTGGCTCATATTTAAGCAAAATGATAATACCTAGTTTGCTCTCCTGTCTAATAAATTGATGACTTAGCATAAGCCATAGCTGTCCTCAAAAGATAAAGGTTTAGCATCATTTAGAAAAACTGTCTTCAAATAGTAGGCATTTCATGTGAAGAAGTTCTAAAAATGCTTTGATTCTTGTAAACAAAACTAAATTAATGAATAAACTGTTCAAGACCACTATGACAGAAACCCCATATTTAGGTATATAGGATGTGTTTCATTCTAAAAAAAAAACAAACAAAACAAAAAAACCTCATAATACCTTATAGACTTATATTGAAAATGTGAATGAAATACTTTTTCATTTTTGTTTTTGGGGACTTGAATTGGAATGTTCACAAATAAAATGTGTAACACTTTGTAGAATTTGGGGATAATTGTGGGTTCTAACTCCACATTACGAAGTTAACAACCAAGTAGTATCAAAATATGAGCATTCTATATAAGCATCTTCTTTCTGTCCTTGGTAGAGGCTAACTGAAGTTAAATACACACTAACTGGCATGGAGATTCAAGGAGGGAAATAAATAAGATCACCATTTATAGTAAACAATTTAAATCTGAAAGATTGGCTAGGCACGATGGCTCATGCCTGGTAATCCCAGCACTTTGGGAGGCTGAGGCTGGAGGATTGCTTAAGGCCAGGAGTTTGACATCAGCCTGGGCAATATAGCAAGACCCTGTCTCTATAAAAATTTTTTAAAAATTAGCCAAGCTCAATGATGTGCGCCTGTAGTCAGAGCTACTTGGGAAGCTGAAACAGGGTTGCTTAAGTCCAGGAGTTTGAGGTTACAATGAGCTACAACCTGCATTCCAGCTACATCACTGCATTCCAGCCTGGGTGACAGAGTGGGACCCTGTCTTATAATGTCAAGGCAGCTAAATGCATTGATTCTATATCATGTTCAGTAATGATGTGCAGAGTTGAAGCACATTGAAGTGAGGAGCAAGATACTCAGCAATCCATTCTACCATATTTTGCTTTCTTTGTGACCCTTTTTAATAGGTGACAAAACCAACCTGACTAAAGATCTTTCTTTTCCTACTCTTCTTCTCACATCCTTCCTTCACCTCAATCTTCCAAAAAAGAAACCCAACCATCAACCAACCACAAAATGTTCATGTAGAAACTTACAAAAATGCTGTTTCAGGAAATACTTGGAAAGATACTTCAACTATTAAAAATTATTATTTTGGGATTCTGTGTTGACTTTACATAATAGAGATAATCTTTCAGGAGGCAATCAAAATTAAGGATGTTAAGGATGAGACCTAATTATAAGGCATCTTGATAAAAATTTGACTCTCTAAAGACAATGTTTTTTTCTATTTCTATGCCTTAAAATTGTTTTAAAAACTGGGATATTTTCATTATTTGATTACTTAGCAATTCTTCAAGATTACTTTGATGATCTTGGAAACTACCATAGAAGGATATAGATGATGGGCCAAACTGCAAGGTTTTTAATCCTATAGGTTTTGAACCATTGTTGTCCTACCAAATAAGTATACTCATTTAATGAGCATATAAATCTACCTAATTAAATCTACATGGATTAATTGTGCTAAAATGAAAATCTGGGTATGATATAACTGGAAGTTTTACTAGCTTGCCAGGAAATATAAGCAGTGGATGTTAATCATTTTATGTTCCTGAAAAAGTAAGAATGACTGATCCTGAAGTACTCCTAACTACCGTTCTTCCTCTCAACATCAGCTTTTAAACAAAACAAAATATCTACCTTTGCATAAGATTTAGCAGCTGCAAGTATGTAATTATCGTAAAATTTCTAAAAACCCTTAGAAGTCCAGTTCTAGTGTCTTGATAAAATTGGAGCATAAGACTTTTTCTAGACTAGTTAGTTAATAAAATACAAGAATATCTAGTATTACAGGTAAATGAAAACTGACTATCTTTGTCAATTGCTGTTACTACAACTTCTCTCTTTTCTAGTATATGGTGAAAGGCAACAAGACTACCCATCACTTAGGATTTCAATAAATATAACAAATTTCGGTTGCATTTGTTAAGTTAGTGTTACATATTGCCTTTCTAGGCAAATATTCTTTAGGTTTGAAATGTGAATTAAGGAGAAGGTACAGTGCCAGAGTTCTGCACCTAATTAGTGGAGTGAGAAATGGAAAGGAATTCTTGGGAGGAGTTATAAATTGAAAGTCTAAGAAAGTCCTCAAAGCAAATCTTAGGTCAAATAATAGGGACTTACATTTTTGAAAAGCATGATCCAATAGGAAGATAATGCAAGTCACATAGTAATTTTAAAGCTGTTTAGTAGCCATACTTTTAAAAAAGTAAGAAATAACAGGTGAAATTAACCTTAATAATCAATTTAATTCAGTATATCCAAGATATCATTTCAACATGTAACCAATATAAAAATTATTGAGATATTTTACATTCTTTTTTCTTACTAAGTCTTTGAAGTCCAGTGTATTTTATACTTACAACACATCTCAGTTTGGATCAGCCACATTTCAATTGCTTATTAATCACATGTGTGGCTACCATATTAGAGAAAACAGGTCTAGAGAATTAAAGTTTGAAAGTTAAGGAGTGGTTGGGAATGTTGGGCTACAGATTGTTAAGTCTAGCTTGTGTAATTAATTCCAGGTGCTTCAAGAGTTTAGCTTTTGAACCAACATTGAAAGTAACCATTTTAAGCAGTTAATATGGCACTGATGTTACAAATAAGTATAGCAAGATTCTGAATGAACTTGTTATGGACTGAATTATGTCCCTCCAAAATTTCAGTTGAAGCCTTTAACCTCCAGTATCTCAGAACATGACTACATTTGGAAAGAGGACTTTTTAAAAGGTGATTAAGTTAAAGGCCATTAGTGGGTCATGATCCAATATGACTGGTGTCCTAACAAGAAGAATTTTGTACACACACAAAGAGACACCAGGGATGGATGTGCACAGAGAAAAATACCGTATGAGGACACAGCAAAAAGGCAGCCATCTGCAAGCTAAGGAGAGAGACCTTAGAAGAAACCAAGTCTGAGGACGCTATGATCTTGAACTTTTAGTCTCCAGAAGTGTAAGAAGATAAATTTCTGTTGTTTAAACCACTCAGTCTGTGGTATTTTGTTATGGCAGCACTAGCTGACTAATACAGGACTGCAGGATAAGAATAGAAAGATTGTCCTTACCTGAGGATGAAAAGAATTCTACATGCTTGCTTCTCTTCTTCCCTCAATGGAAAAATAGATTGCTTTCTACCTTGAAGGTGTTATTATTGTTACTGTTACTATTACGTTAGAAAAGAGAAATGATAGTTTAAAAATTAGAGAGGTAGATATCTCTATATTTTAATGCTCTATTACTAAGTTGATAGAAAATATCTCTGCAACACAAATAGTAAAACATCTATAGTATTTTGTAATGTTATGTTTGAATTTATAACAAAATAAATATAACTATATTTGAATTGTACTTTAGAATTAGAGCAATATTTCCTAAAATATATTCTGTAGATTACACAACCAACTGTTTGCTTCTTGAGAAAAAAAGGTTCTGGGTGCTAAGTGAGTTTAGGCAACACTAGAATATGATTAATCTCTCCTTGGAGATTCACAAAGTACATTAGCACATTAAAGGCTCTGAAAAGTCCTGCATAAAAGAAATGTACCTAATTTGACTTAATATCGCATTCCTCTTATTAATTTGAACTGAAACTCTTTTTCCCCCAGTAGCAAATAGGAAACATCCAGCAGAAGTAAGGTAATGTTGGAAAATGTTAATTATCTCACTTGGTCTCAATGAAATCCCCAATTTTTTTTTATTTTTTTTTTGAGGCAAAGTCTCACTTTGTTGCCTGGGCTAGAATGCCATGGCATCAGCCTAGTTCACAGCAACCTCCAACTCCTGGGCTCAAGCGATCCTACTGCCTCAGCCTCCAGGTAACTGGGACTACAGGCATGTGCCACTGTGCTGGCTAATGTTTTCTATTTTCAGTTGTTTGGCTAATTTCTTTCTATTTTTAGTAGAGGCAGGGTCTTGCTCTTGCTCAGGCTGGTCTCAAACTGCTGAGCTCAAGTAGTCCTCCCGCCTTGGCCTCCCAGAGTGCTAGTATTACAGCCATGAGCCATCGCGCCCTGCCGAGATCCCCAATTTTTGAGATGATAAAATAGAGGCTTAAAAATAATAAATATCAAAGTCACTGAGCTAATTGAGTTTTGGTTTTGAACTCAAGTTTCAGACTAAATCCTTTGATGATTCCACTGTGTTGTAGCTGTTTTTATACACACTATTACATTCATGCTCCATGTATTTTTTTGTTTGCATTTAACTTTCTGTTTTTGAAAATCCCACATGCATACAAGTGGAGAAAACAGTCCAACAAACCACCATGTATGAACCCACCATTTAACAGTTATCAACCCACGGCCAATATTGATTTGTCTGTACCTCCACTCACTCTCCAACCCTACCTTCCTGAATTATTTTGAAACAAATTTCAGATTATAAATCTTTTAGTCTGTAAATATTTTAGGATGTATCTCTAAAAGATAAGGACTCTTAAAAAACAACCACAATACCATTAGCATACCTGCAAAAATGAAAAGTTTATCATCATCAAATTTCCAGCCAATGCACAAATTTCTTCAATGATCTCATTGTTATTTTTCATTATTTGTTTATTTGAATCTGAATCCAAATAACATCCTGTGCTAATTTCGTATGTTGACTTGGCTAGGTTAAGGAATATCCAGATAGCTGGTAAAACATTATTTCTGGGTGGGTTTGTGAGGGAATTTTCAGAAGAGATTAGCATTTCTACAGTAAACTGAGTGAAGATCCGTCCAGATGAAACAAAAAGGCAGAAAAAAGGTGAGTTTGCTCTTTCTCCGAGAGAGCTGGAATATCCATCTTCTCCTGCCCTCAGACGTCAGAGCTTCAAGCTCTTGGGCTTGCTGACTCCAAGATTTACAACAATGGCTTCACAGGTTCTCAGGCTTTCAGACTCAGACTGAATTACAGCACCAGTTTCCCTGGTTCTCCAGCTTCCAGATGGCATATTGTGGGACTTCTCAGCTTCCATGATCACCTGAGCCAATTGCCATAATAAATCTCCTCTTATATCTCTCTATATATATCCCATTGGTTACATTTCTCTGGAGAACCTTGATTAACACAGATCCATAAACTGCAACTGGTAAGTATATCTCTTAAGTGTCTTCATCCATCCTTTTATTTTATCTTGCAATTTATGTGTACAAGAAACTGAGTTGTTTGTTCTATAGTTTCCATCATCTAAATTTTGCTGATTGTACCTCATGCTGTTATTTAACAGATTCCTCTGTCTTTTCTGTATTCCTTATATTTTATGTAAATTGATGAATAGATCTAGAGGCTTGATCAGATTCAGCTTCAAAAGACGTTATCATAGGTGATGGTGTGTATTTCTACCAAAAGGCACATAATGTCTGGTTGTCTCTTTTTTGATGTTCAAAGCCATTGCTTTTTGCTTAGATTCATTAGTTAATTCAGGATTGCCAAATGATATTATTCTAATTGTCATTCCTTTCTCGTTTATTTGCTCAGTTACTTTTATAAGGAGTTTACTTCATCAACCATTTGGTTGTCCTGGATACATTTCTTTATGGAAAGGCAGAAAAAAAGTTTGCTTCTTTCCCTTTATTTACTGATCTTCAGAATAATGAGGAAGTTTCCTAGTATCTTCCAAAGGTGATCAATGATTATATTAGTTTGTTTAGTATCATTATGCACTTGCAGTTTTAAACCTATTTGATGTAAGCAATGTGATGTTCAAAATGACCCAACATAGATTACCTTTTAAAGTTATTAGCAGAACTCAATAAGGAAAATCAGTTTAAATTTACTAAGATGCTACTAGGGAATGTGCTAAAAGATAAATGAAGCCCAATATTTACTTTAGTCAAACAAAATGGATATAAGTGTTGGTACACTCCTAAATTTTAGTTGGGGTGCCATGCCAAGAAGCCATCCATCATATACAATTTCAAAGAAATGGGAGGTATTGCAATTTTTTTCTTACCCTCTAATTACTACAATATAATTATATTTAAGTGTCAATGAAACCTATCAACATAGCACCTAATTCTATGTACTAAGAAAAATAGTTAGAAATTTACAAGGATGAAGAGACTCGGCAGTCACCAGTCACTGGAAACATACATGTTAGCACTTGATGAAGCAGTACATTGAGTAGAACATGTTGGTCAATAGGCAATGCTAATTTACCTAGCAAAATATTAAAACTTTTATCATAGAATATGGGTCAGAGAAATTGGCAACTTTTGAAGAAAAATTATACTCATCGCAAAGGCCAGAGTTTCTTACAGCAGTATTAATTCTCATCTTTAAATATAAAAGGAAGCTTTGAGGAAGCTGGATTTAAGTGATCATAGATTAACATTTCTTTCTGAGTAAATCACCATCTAGAGCTACTTATTTTGGTGTTTTTGAGAAATCATCAAACATCGGATAACAATGATAATCTAAAATTGATAACATTTGAATAGAAGTAAGGATGTCTGATGCGGATCATGAAGAAAAAGAAGCCTATGGACTTAGTCTGCTCATATTATAAAATATTAATTATTAACTGGAAAAATCAATTATCTTAACAATGTCATTTTCTTCCAGTCTCTGAGGCACTATTTAACTAGTTCATAAATTTTGTTATACAATAGTACAAAGAATTACTTATTTTCCTTTTCTCATATGCTTCCTGATATTTTAAAAGCATAAGTTACTGCCAGGAATTTTGGAATTTTTAAAATGAGAATCTTTAATGTTAATTTTTTAACTTGGTATATAGCTTCTAATTTAAATTTTCCATGTAGTCTAAAAGTGAAATTTATCAGAATTCCAATGATTAGTTTATATAAAACAAACAAAAAATATACCAATATTAATTTCCTTTCCAAACTGTAATGAAAGTTGTTATTCATATCTCTTGAAAAATTATACATTTTTCAGCATTCTGACAGACAGAACAAAGATTTTTTTTTTCATGTTTAGTAATGTTTAGTGGACAGAGAAGAACTTAATAGTACAATCAGTAAAAAAATAGTTGTAGTAATATCATATGAAGAATACTTCTTGTGAAGCATTTCTACCACAACTTCTTGAGACTTAAAACACAGAAAAAAATATTCATTGAGAAAATGCAGAGTTTTTATATATTTTTGTTTAGATCAAGAATACTGTCATTAAAACCAATTGTTCATAAAGCAGGCTTCCTCTTTACTTTCTTATTGTCATGAATTCTAACTTTGTAAGCAAAAGTACATTTACAAGTAATATATACATATTTCATGTACATATGAACCAGCATAAATATGAATGTATGCATACCACTATTAATGTTAAAATTTTTTAGACAAAATTTTTTTCTATTTTTAATTTTGTCATTTTCCCATTTGCTATTTGAAGTCTTTGAAAAATAGTATCTTCTGAATGCTTTTTAACATTATAGAGAACAATGGTTGAATGAGGTTTTAAGTTTGGAGAAAGGAGAATTTTTTGAACAGAAGTTGATCCTCTAAAATTCTTTGTGTGAGTGTCTTTAATTTGGTTTTTACCACTGATAAAACGGGCAGAATAAATATTATTAACTTTTCTTTCTTTTTTGTTCTTCTCTGGGTGTCATAACTGTCAGTTAGACTTGTGATGGTCATGTTATTTCCTAATGACGGCACAAGAAAGAAGCAGTAAGGCACGGGACTTCAAAGAGACCTGGGTCCATCACATGCAAACTTTTCGTAATATAAGGTGCATAACTTTATCAGATCCTCAGTTTCCTTGTGTATAAAATTAGGATTTATAAGAGTACCTATTACTAGGAGAGAATCCATCTAGTCTAGTGTCTGGCATCTGGGAAGTACTCAGTGAATGTTTGCAATAATTACTTATTCCATACCTGCTATAACATGCATTTTTGGCTGAACACAGAACTAAAACTTTAGAGCAATCTACCTCAGATAGATGCTGGTGCCCCAAAATCATTTGCAGTATTGTTTTAATTAAGATGTTCTAGATAAATATATTAAAATAAGAGTAAAATTTTCTGCTGGAGATTCTCTTCCATACTTCATTCTTTTTTTTTTTTTTAGCAACACTCTAGAACACCTAGTATGTTCTAGGGAACAGACTTGGATCTAGGAACTTAGATGAATTTGCACATGCCTAGAATCTGTTCTGATGGGAAAATCACTTGAGTAAAAAATAATACTATCCAAAATAATAATTTATAATGTGATTTTTTTAAAAAAGGGCCCACTTATTTAATTGTCTAATCATATAGTCTGGATCATATAGGCATTTGATGAAAATAAATTGAATATTATAAAAACAGTACTTACTATACCTTGTAAAGTTTCATATGCCAAGCTTATATTTTAATAACATTTTAATTTTAATAAGTATCAGGAAAAATAAACATAAAATATAGAAAGTACATGTTCAAGTTATCTATTTTCATATCACAAACCAACTGATAACTGTTTTAAACTGAATGGTATAAAAAAACAGCCATTTTTAAAAACTTTAGCAACTTTATGTATAATTGACATACAATAAACTACACATATTGAATTGCACAGTTTAATAAACACCCATATGTGCACACCTGAGAAACCATCACCAAAGTCAAGGTAATGACCATGTCCATGATGGTCACGATTCTGTAGGTCAGAGATTAGAGCAGGCATAGGAGGAGCTATATCTCTGACACACCATGTTTGTGGCCACAGCTGGAGTTGTTTGAATAGCTGGTGGCTGCTGGGATGGCTCAATTAGGGCCATACATCTGGGGTCTTCATTCTTCTTCCTGGGGTGTTTACTGGAATAAGAAGGTCCGAGATGGTTCCTTGATGACTGGTCTTGGTGTCTGGGCTGGGATAGCTGGAACAGCAGAGACCTAACAGTCTGTATACTCATGGTGATCTCAGGATTGTCAGGGGTTTTACACAGCAGCTGGGTTCCCCCAGGGGGGGAGTTCCAAAAGTGTCTTCCAAGAGACAGGAAGTGAAAGCTGCCTTACAGCCTGAGCCCCAGAAACTGACACAGCTTCACTTCCACTATGCTTTATTTGTCAAAGGAGTCACCGAGCTCACCTAGATTCTGAGAAAGAAGGACATGAATACCACCTTTTGATGAGAATTCTTGATCATTTTTAAAGCACCACAATGCATATCAGACACCCTATATGCCTGAGTGAAAGAAGACTTCAAATTGAGGACATGAACAAACTATTTCTGTGTATTATAAGGGCAATAGCAAGGGAAGGAAGTGTAAGTAACACCAGAATTTCCACCAACTCCGCTGTCTTCATTGCTGTTTATTGAGCAATGTTCTTCAAATAACCTGCAGTTGTCATGCCCTGGTTTGGTATAAATGGGTGCATTTTTGTATATAAATACACATGATTGAGGTCATATGATAAATGCCATTGTTTATTTATTATAGAATATTATAATACTAATTATATACTTTAGTTATATGTTTTTACCAAGGTTCTAAAATCATTATTGAGACACAATCAATTCAGTAGAACCATTTGACATGATGAGCATATCAGATTCTGGTAATGTGATCTTCCTTGGGACTTATCCTACTGGGAATCTACTGTATTTAATCTTTGTAAGAATTTCATCTTTTAAAAGTTGGGGGCAGGGGTGATCCCAACTCTATAAATGGGTCTGTTATAATTTAACAAACTTTACTAGTGATAATTTCAGATAGATGGCTTCAAATTTTCTGAATAAGTTTAATCTGCTATGAGCATAGCATATTGAAGAAATGTCATCAAGCTATGGCGAAAATATATCTTTCCTTATATGTTCAACCACCATGTGAAATGTGTGAATGTAACATGAAATGCAGTAAAAAAAAAAAATTAAGTTAGTGAAATATACCAAGTAAACCTTTCAGGAAAATGTTTTTCATTGTGATCTTTCTAGAAGCACAAGGGAAAGACAAAGTATAAGTGCAGTTTACACATGAAAGAGGGGTTCCTGGCTCACTCAAGAGGAATTCAAAAAAATTATTCATCATTATTTCTATTGTTGAAATATTTGTTCAATGGAATATTTGTTCCATGGAAGGAAACAGCTACCTCATTTCGTCCTTTTGGATTCCTCTTAACCACAGCTTATCTCAAGTAGT